TGTAATTTGCAGCCTTAACACAGATGATTTGTTCTGGCGCTGTGGAGAATAAGTAAGCAAAGGGAGCAGAGTGGGAGACAGGTCCATCAGCAGTGACTTTGACACTGTTGGCCTGATTAATCTCTTTTACCCCCAGTGAAAACTCATTACCTTTTTTTTCTGCGTCAAAGTCATTTCAAAGATGAATGTATTTCACTGCAACGTATCGGATGTCAATCGTCTCTCGAGTGAGGAAGGTGTTAGCAGAACCATAAGGTGCCGAGACGGATATACCTGAGTCTGAGAAAGTTTTAATAGGTGTCGGCTGTGGAGCAGAACATCGCTCTCCTTCAGTGTGTGTTTTTAACAGCGAATATTTCAAAGTGTTTACCTTACAAGGACATGCGGTGAATTTCCAACAGCAGAGACACAAAGGGAATAAAAGGAACCATAGAAATAGGTGGGATTCTTCAATCTTAAGACTAATATACGTTTCCATCTTTTGTTTGTCAGCGCTCTGACAGCTCTTCCATTGTTGACTTCTGACAAGCGTGACACCTACGTACTGTCTAAGCCGTCACTTAAACCAACCACGTTTGTTGACAGACGCTTTTTGAATGTTGAGCTATAAAGCCCATAAAGATTTGAACTGACAACTGCTGCTGCTGGATAACAGACTAGGACTTCATCTTTCATCCTTTTTACATCTACACCAAATTTTACAGAAATAAAGCTGTGGCTCATGTTCAGACTTGACAATACGCAGAGGCACGTTATCATAACCAGGGATCAGGTCTGTGTACAGAGCAGTCGGTGAGACTCTCAATATTGGTAATAGAGCCATATATTTTTTAATAAAGGAGCACTTGGTTTTTTTCCCTTTGTTTTTACATTCTACCAGTCTGTTGGTAGTTATGTTTTGTATGAATGGAACATAAAGAAACAGTACATATATTCACTGCAGCTTATATTTGCTTCTACTGTATGATGCAATTTAAAACATCCACTGAACATAATGACGAGGTGCAGCTGATCCACAGCACAGTTTATATTGGTGAAATATTGTTATCTAAGAATACAACATCAAAAGGAAGAAGCCTAGAGTTTCAAAAATAAATACTGCGTTTGTCCGTCTCTGGTGCGTCTGCCTGTCTCTTCATCCTCTGTCAGTCCACTCCTTGCGTTGTCTAAGAGTAGCATTCATATCAGAGACTGACCTTTGTGCTTCCCCTTCCTCTCCTTCTTGTCGCTGCCCATCTGTGGAGTGGAGCTGGCCGACGCTTTGCCCTTTTTGCCCGAGCGGGGAGGCTGCGTGTCTGCCAACGTCTTAGCTTTCTCTCGCTCTGCTTCTTGCACTGAGAGGGATGGAAACAAACAGCAGATTCATAAAGCATGAAGAAAGGTTGAATTTAACCTACAGTGACAATGGAAAGACTGGAATTAAGAGGATTATGGAGGACTGGTGGTTTCCTTTCAACTTTATGAATAACTTGGCTAAGATAACTAGGCTAAGACAACTAGACTACTGACAGTGACATGGCTAACTTGACAGATAAAGAGTTGTCACATTATTCTTTGGCCAATAATACTATCAGTGATTGTATTGACATAGCTTTTAACCCTTTCTTGGCTAATCTGAAAACACCGAATTACACTATTTCAACGTCCATCGAACACTATTTCAACAAATGAGTAGAATTAGTATAAAATAATCTGATAATAAGGCCAAAAAATCATCTTATGTTGGTTGAAAAAAAAAAGTCTTTTTTTAGTCTGGATTGAAGTCCTTTCTTCGTATGTTTACACAGTTTTGTTTTGTTTTTTTCACAAAGACAGCGTGAGCACTGCAGGTGTAAGCAGAGGCTGAAACCAGATGAAAAACTGCCACCAACAAATATTTCATACCCACAGTTTGACATCTTTATGTTTTCAATCACTGCACGTTCATAAATCCTATTGGTGCCCTGTCAGTCTCCCTCCACTCACCTTGGTAGATGGTGCTGCTGTTGCTGTTGAGGTAAGACTCCACCAGCGGAGCCTGTTCCTCGCTCTGTTTGGTACGACGGGTCCGAGACCTGCCGTCCACGTTAGACTGGACCATGAGAGGCTCCTGTCTCTTCTTCTTCTGCTTCTGTTCCAGCAGCACTCTCTGGAGAGAGCAGGTGTCATTCATTTGAACACATGTCCCAGGAAAGATAATGTTTTTAATTTGATTTTCAACCCTAGTCTTGGTTATTCTAGGGCAGGGGTGTCAAACTCATTTTTACTGGGGACCACATCAGCAATACAGTTCCCCTTGAAGGGCCGGTTGTAACTGGAAGACTGTAGAGATCAGGGGTCAGCAACCCCCGGTCCATGGACCAGTACCGGTCCATAGGTCACTGATTTATTCAAGCTACAAACACTGTTTGTAACGTTTAATTTCTTTAAGAAACTCTGCTGCATGGATTTTACTGAATATTTTTTAAGCTCTCGTGGGCCACACAAAACGGCTTGGCGGGCCACATTTGGTCCCTGGGCCTAAAGTTTGACACATATGTTCTAGGGTGAGGGATATTTGAAGAATTGAAACATGAATATCTCATTGACTTTGTACTTTTATCATTTTAGTTGTTTATACCTACATTATACTAGGGCTTTTTGAAACCTATAATTAAATTTGCAGTTTGCGTTTGACCTTCGCTTGTTAAGTTTCACGTTTCCTGCCGACTTCCTTCAGATGGACTATTTTGAGGACTATTTTTTAGGATGTTTCGGATCATTTACTGCAGACTGGACATGTATGTTAGTTCGGCGAGCCTTAAAAATAAAATCTGTTTGTGTTAGAGGCTCTAAAAGTGCACATCTTCACCAAGACAACTGTACAGTTATATAATAATTTGACCAATAACTTTGCTGCTAAGACTGCATGAAATAATTTTTACATTTCATATCATGGTTAATTAATTTACTATTTACATTGGTAAAAAATGTGTTTAATTGTTATCACAAAGTAAAAAACCCACCTGTCTGTCCAGCTTCTGCTGCCGAAGGTTGGTGCCCTCGTCATCTAAAGTGCTGCGAAATGGAGAGCAAAGAGGTGAGGTAGAAAAAAAACATTTGGACATCTGCTCCTAAAATACTTATCACACCGTGTATTGGTACACTACTGTGTCAATAATGCATTATTATTAATTCATTACATGCTGCTAGTACTTCAGGTTATAACAGGATATACACACTACAAGGCTATTACTCCCAGGGGGAGGGAGGAGGTGGTAACTGTCAACCCCAACACTTCAGCTATTACCGCAATAATGTCAGCGTGTGGGCACACGTCGTCATATAGTTGTTGAGAGTTCAAGCCCCAGTGTTAACTACTGCTCTTTAATGAGGAGTTTGACTTTTTCTTGTATGTTTATGTCTGGTAACTCCGTCTTCTCCATACAGTAAAATAACATGAAGGATTGGACTCTGAGTGAACTACATAACTGTCAAACTCAGGCCCGGGGGCAGAATCTGGCCCACAGTGTAATTATATTTGGCCCACGAGATCAAATCAAATGTGTACTAGATTTGGCCCACCAGTATGTAGGCCCTATATACTGACAGTATGTAGTATTAGCAGTGTATGCGCTATAACAGTGCATACACTTTGGGTTCCACATGAAAAGATTCTTCATTACAGATCTGGAGAGAAGGGACATATGGTCTAAGGTGTATCGGAATAGCAATGAATATTAAGTTTGACCCTCGACCTCGTTCCAGTTTTTTGGCCTCCGGGCCTTGAGTTTGACACATATGGTCTAAGGTGTACACCACACTGGACAGTTGACTACAATCATAAAAGATGTTAAGTCTAAAAAAAAGGAATAGTAGTGGAGTGGAGGGTTGGCATTAAAGTCATATAGTCATAAGTCATTATTGCCAAAGAGATTACTTTTTGGCGCCCTCTAGTTTTTCTTTGGCGACATCCAACAGATGGCACTCTAACAAACAGCTCTCTGGCTGGTTCTGGTTGTACAGACTTTGGCATCAGAGATTCTGGAGTGGTCAGAATCACTGAACATCCCTGTATATAAAACACCAATGCTTTGGACAAATTCTCTTCGATTCTTCAGAAATGTTTTGGCAGCTTGTCTCCTGCACATCGAGTCTGAACTGCACAGCATGTGTCCCACTAAAAACGGATGCGTTTAATGAAGTGATTAATTTAGAGTCTAGACAGAAATGGGGGTTATATGTGTGAAGAATTTAAATACGATATTAAAAAAAGACATTTTTTGGCAATCTATTTTTAATATGGTTTGAAGTATTTTCCTTTACATCTGCAGAATAGACAAATGTCTTGATAACATATTCACTTTTCCACTGAATTTCCTCAGATATATTTGTACAGCACAATGTTCCAACTCTTGTTTCTGCTCAGACACAACCCTCTGGGGTCAGTGTGTGTGTGTTGCGTATCGACACCATCTAGATAAAACACCATTACTGTTCTGTATTCCACTTGATTGTCAGTACTAATCCAACACTACTTGTTTCAATGGATGTTTTCTCCCATCTGACAGATGCTACCAGGCATCTCCATTTCTCTTTTCCTCTGCAGCAGCATTTAATATCTGACAAAAGGAAATGGTGGTGGATTCTTTTTTCTTTTTTCTTTTTTTGGCTGAAACACGATCTGGTCCCAGCAGCAGAGTGCAGAATATATTACACTTTATCACAGCCATCTCTGACTGGACCCACAACAATGATTGTGTGCAGACTTTTCTTGTGGCAGTTGGCTCAAACACAGCTGTGTTATATCTTCCTCCACAACAACACCAGTATTGACTTGAACATTATTTGATTTAGTGATGCCCCGTGCCCAGGCATGTCACTGCCCAAAGCAAATAACTAATAGCCAGTGCGGCAAAAACAATGTTTTAAAGGATTATGTCTACATGACTCACCATTTACAACAATTCCTCTTTCTTTGCTGCTTAACAAAAGCCTCCTGAAGCAGAAACACTGACACATCGGAGCCTGGGTGTGAACGAACATGCTCATCCTCCTGCTGCTGCAGCCGTGCACCGGTTGAATAAGTAAAACAATAACAATAACTACCACTGCGGGCTGTAATGACTGATCCTGAACAACACGCACGTGCTTCTAAACAAAGGGCTGCAGCTCTGAGGGGTGCTGAGTTAAAGATCAAATATTTAGGTAGAAAATAGAACACCAGCATAAAATATAAACAGACAATGAGTTTGAAATGAAACTATTTGATCTATTTTAATTCATTAATCATTCTCACGTGATGCATCTTAATACATATACCCTAAACAGCAGGCCGTTTGTTTTTCCTGCACCACTGAGTGACTGACTGGTCTTTATTTGAACTCCCAGTCCTCTGGTTTCAGCGGCAGAGCTTTTAATCGATGCTGACAGACTCACTGATTGTTTCATTTGGCCATTTGGCCATAAATATCTGGGACCCCTGAATAACATAATGGCTCCTGCTAAGAGGGCAAAGAGCAGTTTACTGCAGCAGAAGAGCTGGGCATGATGGGCCAGAACAGATGGAAGAGGTTCAGAGGTGGAGGTGGAAGTAGGGTCTGATGATGGGATGGATAAAATGACCCTTTGTTTTTCCAATTCATGTGATTTATAATAATTGTATTTTACATCAAAAGCCTGTTTTCTGTCTTTCTGTTTGCTGATGTATTTATTGTATTTTTAAAAAAAAAAAAAATTATTTTACGCCTCTGCTGTATATATTGTTCGTAAAAAATTTTACGCCTCTGCTGTATATATTGTTTGCATTGGCTCAGAATGAGCTGCTTCTTATTTATATCCCCCCGGAGCCTGCCAATTTTTTCTGTTAGATGGTCCAGTAAATCCACCAATTCCATGTCTTACATCTCTATTTCCTCGTCTTTGAAAACCATGCTGTGTCCTGATACTCATGTTTTATCAGTAAAGCCTGAAGGTGAAGAGAATGTAAAGTGGTTGAGGTCAATTTGGGGGAAGACTTTGTGGCTCTGCTGTTGCCGATCCAGTAAAAGTGCAGTTTTAACACGAGTCTTTCCTGGATATTTAGTGACACCTCTTGGCAATGAAATTAAAGGGAAAAGGAAGTGTCAAATGTACAACATTTCCACAATAAATAAATAAAACAGGAGACTGTCAGAGGAGATTATCGGCCTCCATCTCAGACACTGCTTTGCCTTTGGTGCACTGGTTATTTTATTTTGTCCACCTTCTGTCTATTCATTGATCTTCATCTCCCCTTGCTCCTGTCAAAGAGCTGTTTAACAGAGTTTTCTCTGTGAAACAAACTTGAACAATTGACTATTTATTTCTATGTATTTCTGAACAACAAATTGCCTTTGGTTGGTCTGTTCGTCTGCACACAGTGCCACTGCTGCCACCATGATTACACAAGTGAACTACATCAGTGTTCAATAAAATAAACAGAACGTTTATACAAACAGACACATAAACAAGTAATAGTAAATGTTAAATATTTCTTTAAAGGTTAAATTAAATTATTATTAGCATTAGTGGTGGCCAAATGTGCAAGATTTGCAGGCAGGAAATGGCCCCCGGGCCGCAAGTTTGACAACCTTTGTGACAAACCACGCACTGCCAGTATTGACATCACTGATCTACGTACACATTGCCAGTATTTTGATTATAATGATGATTGCGATGCAAAAAAAAAAAGACACCACCTTCCTCTCACTGCTGGACAACAGTAAGAAATCACTGTAAGCCTGCAATCAGAGTAATGAAGTGTGTCAATGGGCATCAGCATAGAAGATAATCAAACAAAGAGTGTTTTTAGTGGAGGTCAAGCAAACACACATTATGAAAGGTCTCTCCACTTGGGCTGCAGGAAATTTGAATTTGATTCACGGTGCGTGGAGATCGAATGCAGTCCGATTGAAATTGTGGGTTTTTTGGGGTTTTTTTTTAAACAGCATGGACCCCTCAAACCCTTTATGCTGAGATTAAACCACTCAATAACCAGGGTAAATCCCAGCTGCCACTGGGAGACAACAGAGTACAAGCTCTACAAATAACCAGTTCAGTACAGCCAGTAAACACAGACAATCAGGCATTCATCCCCTCACGCTTTAAAGGCTCAGTTAGTCCATGAACTAAGTGTCTTTGGTGCAGGGGCAGAAGAACGCAGAGAGAAAGCCCACAGATAAAAAGGGAAAGCACATCAGAGCCCCACTGTACCACAGAATTATCTGATCAGTCATCACATTAGACAAAAAACCCTGAACCTAATCCATACCCATTTATTTAGACTTCTCCTTCACACCCGTTCTGTAGATGTAAAGGGGTTCGGTTAGTTATGTCGGTTCCACGGTTCCACACCTGCCTCGGAAGCAGAGAGCAGAGAGAACCACATGCTTGGTGCCTGCTGGGGGCATCCTGTTAACAGCATATCTGCTGCTTACACAAGAACTTCTGAAATATGGGCTCAATATAGTACATATAATATATATACTATAATAATTATTATTTTTATTAGTTGCCTTCATTAGGTCAAAGCCAAAGCTGCAGTGTAAAGCCCTGAGTGGTTTGCAAGACCAGAAAAAAGTGCCAAAAAAGTTCATTTCTAAATTACTATTTTCATAATGAATGAAGAAAAAAATCAATATTCAAACAGACCTTGGCTCTCACATAGAAACAATTCATAATACTATTAGAAACAACAGAGTCACAGAGCTACAGAGAATCAATGGTGCGGCTCTTGTGGAAGGGAAATAATTGTGAATGCATTTCAGGGGAAAAAACACTGGCTATAATAAAATGCTTAATAAATACCATAAATGCGTAACATATATATATGCGATGTGTATATAATGTTGAAAATATACAAGCTTTAATTTACAAGCTGTAGTTTCTTTCAGTTTATGCACAACAGCTGCTAAAACACGTGTTTGTGAGATACTGTGGACAGTAATGTATGTACTGTCAATAAAATCCCAAATGAACCAAGGTCGCTACACCGCGCAGTCCTTGAACACCACACGGAGGAATCTGTGAGGAAAAAAATAATCTAAAATCCAAAACAAATAGATGAGCATTTTGTCAAAGAAAAAAACTGCCATCAAGGCATTATTATTATACAAAATGCATCTTTCAGGGGTCTTCCATAGATACTTAATTTTCTATTCTATAGTGTTTTATTAAAATAGAAGTACAATTTGAATTTATTATAAAAGAACATTTTCAGACCTGTTCTTTTTTTTAATACTTGCACTAAATGTTAATAACAATTCCATTGAGGAGATTAGCAGAGTCTTAAATTTGTAGACCGTCACTGTAACTTATAGCAACCACCAGCCAATGGCATCACAGTGAGCAGGGAACCCAAGGTGATGGTGTGTTCAATCAGAGGAGACACGGCAGCATTATTTCTGCTCTTGAAAGGATGACAGCAGACATGCATTTGCGATAGATTTTCCCTGCAAGATTTTTGGTCTTAAATGTGACCTGCAGCTGCTGCAGCTGACACAGTAAATCTTAGTGGACTGTAATAAAGACCGTCTTGTTCGTGCATGCAGCAGTGCATTCACCATGGAGCACCACAACGGTCCCACAGAGACAGGACAACTTTACAGAGAAGTCAATCAAACATTGGCTGTAAATCTATCTTTATGTGTTCATTTCATCTTCAAAAAAACAAAAACTCATCTCTGAACAATTTTGCTTTTTAACTCAGCTAAAACTCTAAAAGGTGTTAATATAGTACTACAGTATCTTCCAATGAGATGCAGCAAAAACCCAGTGCCTTAGCATTTCTGGTCACATGCAGATAAACAAGAACATGTGATATCAGCTGCTTCTTTATGCAGATTTACAAGGCAGCTCTCCTCAACACACACACACACACACATGCGTGCACACACATCCATCTTCCCTCTGTTCCCAGGAATGTGGTACAGTGACAGTACCTGTAGGGTATCCAGTCGGAGGAATGCTTGGAGCTCATGGTGTCCCTCAGTCCCTCTGCTGCTGCCTGACTGCGAGGCTAATGGCTTGCAACAGCACCGGTGCAAGAGGCTACAGGGTCTGTGGACAGATCAGAGCCAGAGAGGCAGCATCGCTCTGATCGTCACCTCTGCAAGCAGCCCTCGATCTCCAGCACGTTTTAGGTCGTATCTCCGTGAGGCCGCGCGGACGGGCAGATGCACTCGGCAGTCACAGACGCGTCAGACATGAAACGGTGGATTTCCTCTCATCGGTGTACATGCTTCCAGCCTGTGCCTCTCCTGCGCTCTTCTCTCTTTCCATCTGCTGCCTCTGCTCCTGCGCTGCACTGACTCTCTGAGCTCTATCTAAATCTCCCTCTGTTTTCTTGCCCTTTAAACCCCCCCTTCGCTTTTTTCTGCTGCCTCTCCGTCTCCTTAGCCCAGGCTTTCTCTCATCCCCCCTCGTTCAGCAGCATCACCCACCGACAGCAGGGACTGGGGGAGAAAATGGGGAAAAGGTTATCGTTCTTTGTGTTGCCTCGTTGGTGCTGTGCTATATTCTGGTCCCTTTTACTGATGTCTTCGCCACAACCAAAGACATCTCTCTCCCTCTCTCTATCTCTCCCCCCATCTCCCTCTCTCTCTCTCTGTTACATTAAGAATGTAAAGCCTGGACTCAGATTTTTTCTTTTTTTATTCCTACACAGCACTCATTTCCATGTGACTGTGAACACGCATGTTAACAGCTCTTAATCTAACACTCTCTCTTTCTCTCTTTACGGCCACACAAAGACACCCTGTGATTCTGCCATAGACCTTAAACCTCTCTCACACACACATCTGCTTCCGCCCCCACACACACACCCGCCCCCCCACACACACCCATCTCACTGCCCCTCGCTGTCAACTGCCTGTGTTCTCAGGGTTACTCAGGAGTTCATCTATAGACAATTCGACCGAGGGGCTTCCTTGTCAAACAACTCACGTCGACATCTATCAACAAAATGTTTTTACTTTTGCCTTATTTAACTGGTTCTTTTTTTTTTCATTTCTCATTATACATTGATAGAAACTTAATTATCTGACTCAAGAATATAAAGAACACGAACCTCTGGATGTCTTGTGAATACAGAGAAGCATATCCTTCACACTTCTTTAAGAGGCGTTTGAGATAACTGCTGTGATTGATTTGTCTCGTCATCCACGTTGCACTGATATCTGAGCAATAACCCCATGAACTGGGGAAATCAAATGAACCAATTCATCCTGCAATGCACAAATACAGCATGTACTTCCTTCTGTTCCAGTGGTATTTACATTATGGTAAAGCTTTTCAGGCTTCTTTTTAACTCTAAAGGCCAGTGCTCATATAGAGAGTCAGGTTGGACACAGATCAAGCTAGAATATAATATTCAAGACATCTAGATACTGTACACTGAGAGTCAAGGGTTTTCTCTATAAATATCTATATGAAATAGTACCACACAAACAACTCAAGCATACAGTGATTTATTCCCAAAGTGGATATCAATAACACAGAAGATGTGGATTTTTACCCAGAATACACTGCTAACCTAATAAAAACATTCACTAATGTAAGCTGCCGTCTGTAATTTTAAATATAAACTACATAACATTTAATAATATAATATATGTTATAAAGTCTAAACCACCAAATGTTGGGCCTTGCAGCCTAGAAGGTTCCTGAACCTGGCGTGGTTTCCTTTTGTTGCCAAATTTCCAAATTGAACACCTCAACATACCTCTACAAAAACCTATTCAAAATTGTAGTTGTAACAATGAGAAATAAGTGCACAAGCAAGAAAAGATCTAGAAAAATGAAAGTCATTAAGTGTAAATGAAACAAGGCAATGTTTCACCTTTCAATACTTCTAGCAAGAAAAAGTGCAGAAACCTCAGGGAGAGTCAGAGTCGAGGTTTCCTTCAGCCAGACTGGACAGAAGTGTAATTGATGTCACAGATACCAGGCCATATTTTTAGCCTCGTCTAAAAACGTTAACGGCATTTGTATTTAACTGAAGTATGGAGTGAAGCTTAGTCAGTGTCCCTCCTACACACTCCTGCTGCTGCTGCTGCCACCTCTGCTGAAAATCACAGCCTCGTAACACACCCAGGGGAATTACTGCTCCTCCTAATCAAAGCATGAGCACGGAACTGGGAAGACGAGAGTTTTAACTTCAGTCTCCCGAGCTGTTACACCTACTCAGGAGACTGAAGTTACTTGTAAGTTCAATGTTTTTCACAATTGAAATTATGAGGAAATCAGTAGTTGAAGAAAGATAATGAGAGAGCGAAGGTTGGATCTGAGTATTTGGGGACTAAGATGGCACAGCTGAGAGTGTGGGCAGCAAAAGACATTTTACCAAAATAATCCCCAGAGTTAATGATCATTAGTTCAGCCTCTGCCTTCAACAAAGCCACTAATTACCTACATCTTTGAACATCAATGAAAAAAAAGACTGGAAAAGACTGGTCGTACAGTGTGAGCTGAACGTCAACCTGTGAGGCCAGATGACGGATCGTGCCTCACGTACGAGCTGCGCTGATAAAAGTGGGAGTAAAGTGAACAAGTCACTGAGGGACTGAGGGACAGGTGTAGGAACAGCTTCCTACTGAATACTTAATGCAGATGGGAAAACTTTGAAGTTTGGAATTAGTTGAGCGAGAGCAGAAAGTACAGGAACATAGTCAACTTTCTTTTTTTTCAAATTAATAAAGATAATTCATTTTTAAGGCTATCAGAATGAACGGGATAATCACTTCGAGGCCAGACCTCACCGAGCCAAGACACTAAATCAGACCACGGCTGTCAAGATGACAAGATGTGAGCCAGCGTAGACTGATTAGTTTTGTTGAAGACAAGGACTTCAAGGATTTTGGATTAGTCACAAATAACCAGTAGACGTACTGTACGTGTTGCTGTCTTTCTGTTCCAACAACATGCAGAAACAACCGACAATTTACCTTGATTAAACACATTAAAGATCAATTACTATCATGATTAATCATGATTAAGTCCATCACTAATCTATGATCACTACTGTGATTTAAAAAAACTATTATTCAAAATGTATTTGATTGACAGGTCTATTTTTAAGACCAATAAATGCTAGTGTTATTTATCTCAGGACTCTTGACTGTTTAAAATGATGCCCAAGAGGGTAGAAAAATAAATAACTTGAACTTTGCTTTAGACTGAGCTTTGTTTTCTTCTTCTGATGAGCTTTACAGCAGAGTATCCTGCTTTACTGCCACCTACTGGTTTTGATGCCAGATCACAGCAAATAAAACAGTCGCTCTTAATCAAGACCATTCCACCTGTGGTAAGAAGGTGAATTAATGATGCTAATTCTTTTAGCCTTTATTTACTCACACACGTCACCTTTGACCTGTCAGCCTGTCAATCACCCTACGACTATATCACTGCCTCTGCCTTTTGTCAGTTTCTGGAAAAGTGCTGCCATTTTTCTTTTAAAACCAATTACCCCGACCTAGGTTTTTTTTATCTTTTTAAAACAGCATTGTGGAGAGGAGGCCTCTTCCTATTCTTTACCTCATTTTCACTCTGAGTCACCGTGAGAACCAATCAGAACAGCAGCATGTGTGAGAACCAGCTCATGCTCATTAGCCCTCATGTGGTTTTTAATGGGTTCTACAGATGTGTGAGACGTCATAGGCCTGACGAGGCAGTGAACGACTGGCGTGTGTCACAGACCGTCAGTTGTTGACGGTTACATTAATAATCTTTCCCACATATCAGATCTGCTCATCCACCTCTTTACTAAATGAAATTCTGGTGTCCAGAGTTTGTACACAGTTTTCTCAGGAGGCATTTTATTGTCTGGTACCAGCATCCAGTAGCATCAGTAATTATAGTACTACCACAGGCACAGAGAGCGTACGCTCAATAACATAACCTTAATGATAAGAAAAAAAGAAAAAAAACGAGTCCTGTACGGGGTAGGTGAAGGTGGACTTAGAAACTCTAGTCACTTTGGCAGGATCCCAGACTGCGGCAAAGACTGAGAGCTATCAAACCGGATATCAGTTTTTTAGTTTCAGTTATCAGTTATCAGTTTTTTTTTTTTAAAAACAACACATTTAATAATGATGATTTATTTTTAAATAATACAGATTATTTCTGATTAATTATAATTCTGATTAATCCTGCAATTATTACTATAACAAGAAACCATGGAGTAGAAATAAGTGTAATATTACCAGACAACTAGTCATCCACAAGACTCTAACCTGTGTTGCTAACAGAAGGTGAATGAAGTCCGGCTTTGACCATTCATTCATTCACCACATGGTGGTAATTGTTCACAGAAGCAACAACATGAAGCCACAGTGGTGGTCTCTCTAAAGTCACTGTATTGCAGACCATATTTAGCGTGGCAGATTACTCATAAGGGATCTCAGGGCGAACACTGTCATTTCCTTGAAAATGATTCCAAAGAAATCTCAATGGGAGACTGTGGTCAACCTGCTGACGTTCTGAGAAGACGTCCAGGTCACTGATATAAATGTATATTTAACCTTGACGTCCAGTATTAGCATCTGGTGTCTTTCCCTGATCTATACGCTGTACTTTCCAGTGAAATGCAATTTACAATATATGTATATCTCGTTGTCATTCCCAATAAAATATTAACAAATTATGCATACAACACAAAAGCTCATTAAAATACTAATGGTTTATGGTATGGATTACAAAAAACGTTCACTAAATAAAAAGGTTCACTAAATAAAAAAAAGTTCACTAGATAAATCTAAATAATGTAAAAACAAAGTGTTCCGTCCTGTTAACAAATACAGTATTGTTTAGTGACAGTTAATGACTGTTATCGTAAACTAGTGTTATGATGGTGTAGCTCATATCCAGGCTCAAGAGTTTTATTGACTTTATGAACTCCTGCTACTGCAGTAATACTGTCTCACGACTCACTGGCTTTTTAATACATTACTGCATGGGTCCACAGGTTCTGCAGTGTTTGTTCTTGTCGGAGCAGGAGGCCGTGAGGCTTTTACAGTCTGGGTTGAAGCGTGCACTATTGCACTTTACAGCACTGTTGATAAGTAAGGGAGGAGATTTGTGATAAAGAATCTGCCACTGTAAACTCAGACCACCACCACATGATGGAAGTTTTCTTTGGACCATCTCACAGAGTCTTCTGTAAAGTGCTCGTGTCTTGCCCTGCGTTTGCCTTGAAGTGAGTGAGAGGTTGGTGACTGAACAATGATCAATCAATAGATAATAACTGATTTAATAAAATATAGATCTGGATTGATATGTCTTAAAACGTCAATATGTTGCCAACAAAAATCATTTGACTTAGCCCTTGTAGAAACCTTGGAACAGATGCTTTAAACCAAAACTCACCATTACAAGCATAACAAAATTACCTATAAATAACAATAACAACAACATTTTTTTCTCTTTGTTTTCATGCAAAGTACAAATTTCATTAAGC